AATATTTGGAGGCGTACATATTAATGATCCCGACTATTGCGTCACAGTCGGTATTGTATGGAGAACCGACCGTTTTTCAGGGGTGTTTTTCATAAACGTGAATTAAATGAGAACGCGAAAACAGTCCAGTTTGAGATTCACTCTATGTCATGTCCATGCACTGAACTCTTGTTATTTGACTATACCAAGGTAAATTCAATTTTGAATTATAGGTCACCTTTAAAAAAAAAAAAACTTTTATTCAGCAAGGATGCATTGAATTTATCAAAAGTAGACATTTATCAAGTCAAGTCACCTTTATATAGCGATTTATACAGTACAGATTGTTTCAAAGCAGCTTTACAATGATTAAACCGGAAAATAATGATCAATTATGCAAACAGAGTTCAATTCTGCTGTAAAGCAGCTCTAAAAATGACAATAGGGCCATTATTCAGCTGAAATCAGTTTAGTTTTGATTTAGTTCATTTCAAATTGTAATTATATTTCACAATATCACTGTTTTTACTGTATTATAAATCAAATAAATGTAGCCTTGGTGAGCATAAGAGACCCCTTTTAAAAAAAACTTACCGATGGTCTTACCAAAATTAGTGACATTGATCATGTGACTATTTGTCCAGAAGATGGTCTGATGCTTCCATTGAATCTCAAGATGCTCTTTGGAACATTCTCAAAAAGCATTTCTAAAAAATTGTATTACATTTTAAATTAAAATAGAAGCATTTTCACTAGTGGTCTCAGACTTTTGGACCCCATGTTTTGTACTTCCACAAAGAATTCATTATGAAGCTCTCGGCTGTCTGGCAGATCCTTCCTAAACGGTTTTCCTTTATTTCTTTCAGATCGCAGATGAAATTTGAGGTCTTCAGATCTGCTGCTGGCGAAAAAAGATGGTCGATTTAATGTGTCAACAAGATTTCACAACAAGTTTTATCATCCCTCGGCTTGCCAAAAGTTTCAAGTATGCCAAAAAACTGATTTGGGTGGGAAATAGATGTAAATATATTACAACATTTTAAACAGAGCTGAAAGTGCTACACTCTTACTGGTAGCTGAAAATATTCCAGAATTAGCCTAAAAGTATAATAAACAAATATGCATGAATTTGTAAAGCTGGCAGTCTGTGTTGATAGTTTGACCTGTAGACCGTGGAGATGTGAGCATGCATGCGTGTTTAAGGGAGAAAAATCCCTCTGAAGGATCTCTAGGGTCTGATACTCATTATCCCGCACTTATCATGCAGTGAATCTGACTCTGGCTTAAATTCACCTCGAAATCTCTGATTATTATGTCTCAAGTGAGAGGATTTTATGGAGACGTCCTCCTCTAAAGAACCGTTGAACTTGCCCACATCTGTCTGGATGAGAAGTCTTATCCTCTGCTTATCCACAAGGACATCTTAGGCTTACAAGTTTTAATTTATTATGATCCAACAGAGCAAAAGTTTGTCTACAGCACAGCAAGAACACAAGCCTTCCATTTTCATTGCACGTCTGCTTGAACATGTTTTCCATTTTAATCATGTATTTGAAGAATCATTTCAGTTGATTTGAAGATTATTAATCACACATCACTATTACTATTCCTCATACTTGAACAAAAATGAGTAAATTTGCTAAAAAATAAACTACTCACAATGCGCCATGGCATTGTGGCGGTGATAGTTGCACATGCAAACATCACTCACACATTCTTTAGATAAATTAAATATAATTATTTATATGTAAATATCTCCAGTGTTAGCATGTCAATCATCTGTCGTGTTTACATTAGAGGGAACATGTGCTCTGATATCTTTTTGATATTTGTTTTTGAAGTGAGTCATTAAACTCCCAAACATCATATGAAATGTTCATTAGCATATACATTAATTTTTTTGTTATAATTATATGAATCATCATTATGATGATCATTATATTTACATTTTACACCCATTCAGCAGATGTTTTTATCCAAAGTGTTTTACACATGAGGAACGCCACATTTGTAAATGAAGGATATCAATTATTTGTTTTCCCTTCTGTTGTCTGAATTTGAAAGACATCAATCCTCATGTCTCAGAGTCAGAGAATGATATTTTGATGTTTTTTTCACAGCCGCACATCAGTTTACTACAAAAAAAGAAAAGGAAAACAATAAATAACACTACCAGTGAAGCAATGTCATGATACATGATCATGATCCTGTGTCTGAAATTATGATCTGAAATGCCCGAGCACAACCTAGTTTAAGATAAGCTTATGCTGCAATTAGATGAGTTTGTGGTGCCATCTTGTGGATAATGTACTCTCTTAGCTGAGGTGGTTATTTTGAACAAATATTTACTTCAATTGGTAGCACTTTATTTTAAAGTCCTGTTCCCCATGTACATACTATATACTTATTATAGTAATTACAATAGCTGGGTAACTACTTACTGACCCTGAACTTACCCCTAAACCTAACCTTAACCCATGTGACCCATATAGTACCCAGTACTTAGAACGCTGTAAGTTCATGTAAGTGCACATGCTACAAAATTATCTATCTATCTATCTATCTATCTATCTATCTATCTATCTATCTATCTATCTATCTATCTATCTATCTAATCTCCTTTTTTGCACGTTTTGCACAAGAGGACTAAGTCCCTTTCAATACCATGGTAATACCAATACTTGGCAATTTTTTCAATTGCTAACATCCTTTTGTCCGATCTGTAGTCACATTTTACACAATAAGCACAACATCTATCTGTTATGACCCTATAACACAATTCATGTTGTTTTCAAACAATATACTATGGTTAAAACCAGAGCATTCTCAGTTGTAACTGAGTTATGGTCTGGCAAAGCGTCATAGACAAATCATTTCCAGAGGGGCGTCACCAACGGACGTCGCGGATAGACCTAAACCCAATCAGAGCGATGAAGGAGATGACGTATGCAGAGCGGCGGAGAAACATCTCCGAGTGTTGTTGTTTTTTTGGAACTTTGTTTTTATTTTTTTATTAAGTTTTCAAAATTACAGAGTTTGATATCAAGTTCTTGACATTTCTTTTGCACATTTTCACATTTAATAAGTATAACTTGAAACAACAATAATTTGGAAAAAATAACCTTTTTTATTTTAAAAAGGAAAATAAAATAAAAGGAAACAGACGCGATAGCTGATTGGAACGAGTGATGTTCGACGGCGGCATCCATCTTTGTAATGTAGCTTACAAAATCTGCTTCAAAATCCCAGCGCTGTCGTCATCGTGTAAAGCCCGCCCCAACGTTTCTGATTGGTGCAGCGATTTCGACGGATTGGAAATGGGCTTGAATGAGCTCTTTGCCAGAATAACTTTCAGAGCAAATCTAAATTTGCCGGAAGTTGTCTGGGTTTTCCCAGGCTAACAATATACGGTCAATTAACATGTTTCTAAAATGCTTACATTTTCTTTTCACTCAAGCTTACCCAATACCAAAATCACGGATCTTGCTGGTCTTATTTACAAATGCTAGCATGACAGAAATGAAGACCTAATGTTTCCAACCTTAAATATAGTATAAAAAGCCTCTACTTCTGCAACAACTCAAAAGTAATTAAAAATATATATATATAGTATATTATTGAAATAACTGAAAAGCATTTTTGTGAGTTATAGTCAGGTGGACATACACAGTAAAAAGGGACTCTTTGAATTGATTTTGTTCAATGTGGATGCAGAACAACTCAGAGAAGCAGAGAGAGAATAAAATAATGTCTGGGCGAGGGAGAGGAATAGTTGAAGGAGGGAGAGGAGTAGTTAGATCAGGACAGAGAGGGAGAAGAGGAGTTTGGGGAGAGGAGGAAGAATGTGTGCTGGACTGTGCATCTTTATGTTTTCCCTTTACACATGTGGAACCTATTAAAGCGTATTTTCACTATTTAATAGAAAATAAAAAAGGTGAATTGTAAGAATAAAAGTTAGAATTGTGAGACGACTCTTTTATTCTGTGGCGAAAAAAGCTTCCATATTGTAGCCAAAGGCCATGTATATTGGATTTGTTGTTGATCAATGGCAGCAATTTTTTATGTTTTCATTTCAGTAAAAGCTTCATGTAAAGCCCCAGAAAGCATGTTCTGCATTGGGAATCATTTGACCAGAGGCTGCCCTGAGCAATTCTGTTACTTTCTACTTTTTTTTTTTTACTATACATCCTATAAAGTAACGACTCGTTCACTTTTAGATAGTATGTTGCCAAAAATGGCTTACAGTAAAAGGAAACTGAATTATAAAAAATAATGGATTTTAAATTGTCTGCAGGTAGAACTGAAACACGACAAGTAATGCAGTTTTCATAAAGCCATCAATTGTTAGTATTCTGACAGTCATTGCGCTATTATTGACTATGTTCATGTTGGATAGAAAACTTGTGCTAGTGTTTTGACAATGATTCTATTTTGAGTCGGTTTGCTGTGTTTTGATAGAGTCAGTATATGTAAAAAAACAAAAAACTATTTTTTTTTAGCATTTTGAAATGTAGAGTTTGTATTTATTTATTTAACAAAATGTGGTTTTGGCCAGAAAATGAACTATTCAACTATAATTATGCGATGTAGGTGTGTTGCTGTGTTAAGAGTTTACAAAAAGGAATTTTTAAGTATCAGTAAACGCTTGTTAGCAATTGTAAATAACTAAATATGTTATATAGTCCTAAGCTGCGCTGCCTGCGCATGTACAGTATTGTTTCATATTTGTTTTTTGTAATATGCATTTAACAAAGTAGGCTTGGATAAAGAACCACATGATTGTGAATTTAGATTTATGATGAACTATCAGACAATAGCGCGTTTAATTAGAAATCAGCCAGCGGGGTGTTCGGGGTGAGCGTGCTGTGTGCGTGTCATTTATTGAACTTCATGTCACGTGTCCCGTCATCATACTGTGTTCAGTGCTGTGCTTATATGACCTGAAGCGTTTGACTGTTCAGCCAATCACTAGACAGACAGACGGGGATGGATAATCATTGTGATCCGCTGTCTCTATGTGTCAGATACTGTACAGAGAAACAAGCCTGATCTCATCTGATACATACAGATGCTCATCACACTGGTCATCTCAACGCCTCTTCTGTAATAAGGTAAGAGCTGCTTCTTTTTCTTTTTAAAGCTCCTGGTAAAAGTATTAGAAAAGTAATATATTTCTTTAGTAACTTGGTTAATATTAAACGATTACTTTTTGATGGCAAGGCCTAAAAAGATCCAAGATCTAGTAAAAAAATAAATAAATAACGAAAACCTTCAACCAATCACCATCTATTTGACAGTATATTTTAAATACTTGTTTAATGGCATCTTTTTATGGATGAAGGCCAGTATCACTGATACTAATACTGCTACTGATGTCTCGATTCAATTGATTTTTTCCACCAATTTTAAACATTAATTATAGCCATTCAACATTACTGTGTATTGAAAGCTATACTTTTTTTTAAACATCTATTAGGCTTCAAAAAATATAGCAACTCAATTAACTTAATTTACGTGAACTTAAAACCCACATAAACCCATAATAAAAGTTATCAAACAGTCTGCACTACATCAATATAAATTAAATATAGATTAATCCTTACTAAAGCTACATAAGTTCTTTAGTCAAGAGCAGTGAGTCATTTTCTCTGTTACCTTTGTTCTTTGATTAACATTAATGACGCATTAGTGGCTGCTGTCACTTTAAAACACTCTCACAACTCATTATGTTCATTTAAAGTCTCCCTGTGCTGAAAATCAAGTTTTTAATGTTGTTTTAATGCTGTTTTAATGTCTATGTGGTGTTTTTAATTTGCTTTAAGACAAACCATGTGCAAATTCATAAGTCAACACCATTGCTGTCTCAAAAACGCAGTTCGGAATCGCTGGTGTTTCTGACGTCACAAACTACCTTGTAACCAATCACGTCAATGTGATCGTCAACGAGTGGATCTCTGAGCTGGTGTGAGTGAGTGGAGGCGGGGCTAATTTGCATATTTTTTTGCAAACCGCTAGCCAAAGGATGACAGAAAATACGGATGCTGCATTAATTGCGTAACACGTTAAACTGGACAACAATTTATCGCATACAAAAAAATAGTAATTGTTTTCAAACAGGTTTCCAGAACATTTCTGCCATTATTCAAACAACAAATGGTTTATTTATAGTTTATTTATTATTGTCTCTGACTGTAGGCTATATTAAAGTGGGATAGGGGAAAGTATTTTAACTTGTATTTTAACAGCTGTAATATATTAATTGGGTCTTTTGACACTGGATCTGAAAAAAAAGTTCATAACTCTTTGTGTTAGAGTCATTTCAAGTGTACATGTGTAAATCTGTGGACATTTTCCCCTTCATATAATCACATCGCGTTCTCCTGCGGATCAATGATGCTGTCAGTCCTGATTATCTGTCTGAGTTGTTTTCTGTCTGGTCTGAAGGACACACATCATCATATACAGTAGTGTTAATTACTGTATTAAATGCCGTCTTGGATTACAGCGCTTTAGCTTGGGTGGCCAGCAGAATGATTGTGTAACTAACATGGCATTATGTTTCTGACAGCATGGTATTCGTTTCACAAAACGGTGATGTTTCACAGTTTGTGTTTCCTTATTCATGAAAGACAAGGAGAAAAGAAAAATCTGTGTACATTGTTCATAAATCCATTCGTATATAAATTGTAACATTCAATTCGTTTGGAAAATGTATGTACGAATGTTTTATGTACATTTTACACGTTCTGATATTGTGTATGAAAAAGGCTTTGAGAGAATCTCCAAAGAACCAGAGAATGAACACTTCTCAATAGGAATAATTTAAAAGATTTTTTTGGATTATTTGTCAATATTATAATTTTTGTCCTAGGTTTTGCAGTTTTGTTAAAGCGTGAGTGTGTAACTCGAGAATCGATTCAGTGCGATTCGTGAACAAATCATTCAGACCGGTTTTGTGACCTGAATCAAGTGATTCATTGAAAAGATTCGACTCAAAAGAATGATTTGTTCATGAATCGAATATCCCTGCAGAATATACACAATACTCTTTTAATTACTTATTCCTTCAGTATAATTGTATTATTTATGGCCTTTTTTACTGTTGTTGGAAGGAGATTGAGGCAGGACGCCAGCTGGATTTGAACCTGCAAGTTGTGTGTTGCAAGGACAGGCACTGCATGGCTCTCTTTATGGGATTTTTGTAATGCAGAAATGTGGGACACAGCTACTGCTTCTGAATGTATCAATCAATCAATTATGTGACAGTGTGTGACATAAGAGAGCCGCGTTTGTGTGTGTGTGTGTGTGTGTGTGTGTGTGTGTGTGTGTGTGTGTGTGTGTGTGTGTGTGTGTGTGTGTGTGTGTGTGTGTGTGTGTGTGTGTGTGTGTGTGTGTGTGTGCGCGCACTGACAGTGGAAATCCTCCCATAATTATGCCAATGCATTGGGTTTTCCTTTCCCACCAGCGACAGGGACATTGATCTCATGAAGCTGCAGGTCCATGTGTCACATCGTGCAGGGTTCTTTCAGGTCCTCTTACGGTCACTGAAGCTGAGACTGTGAGACCATGCTGGAGGCATTGAAACGACTGGCTGCTATAACTAGCTAAACCAAATAAACGTAACCAATAAGCACAAATTAGATGTGTGTAAATACACTGAGGTCATATAAAGTGCTTTTCTAACTTTAATTAGGAAGAAGGAAATGTATGCATAGCTTACAAAATTGTAACTAATGGATATCACCATACTTCAACAGTTACTTCAACCATACTACCACAGTACAGTAAGACAATTCTATAGTTTTCTGAAATGTTATGTTTAAGTATGTTAATGTGGCATTATCTTGTAAAAAATATCCCCTAATTTGCATACATTTCCTAAACAGAAATTTTGTTTCATTTTGTTGACATTAGAGTTAGAGGGAATTTTGAACATTCATTTTTTTTTTTTTTTTTTAAATCTAGTGACTCAAATAGATACAGTGTAATAAAATACTTAAAAATCACTTAAATGTGTCTTTTAGATGTTTTCTTGCCTTACATACAAGAAATGTAAGCAAAATAGTCAAAAATCTCAAAAATAACCAGTGCATGAAAAAAGTTTTGCCTGTACTGTCTCGTCTTAATTGTAAATCTATTATTTGACTGTTTTGTCCTATCAGGATGGACCATGAGTCGCATGGCAGCAGGAAAAGTGGTCACCGCAGCAGACACAATGAGGATGAGGATGGTGAGAGGATGGTCCTTTTTTTACGTTATTTCTTGGCAGATGCACCTGACCTACAAACCAATTTTTGATAAAGAAACTAATTAAATTATTTTTGTTTACTGTTTTTTTCCAATGATCAAATTGTACAATTATTGTTAAATTATTTATTTATTTTCAATATTTGTCACGAAACAAATATAACATAAATAACATAGACATACACTCACCTAAAGGATTATTAGAAACACCTGTTCAATTTCTCATTAATCCAATTATCTAATCAACCAATCACATGGCAGTTGCTTCAATGCATTTAGGGGTGTGGTCCTGGTCAAGACAATCTCCTGAACTCCAAACTGAATGTCAGAATGGGAAAGAAAGGTGATTTAAGCAATTTTGAGCGTGGCATGGTTGTTGGTGCCAGGCGGGCCGGTCTGAGTATTTCACAATCTGCTCAGTTACTGGGATTTTCACGCACAACCATTTCTAGGGTTTACAAAGAATGGTGTGAAAAGGGAAAAACATCCAGTATGCGGCAGTCCTGTGGGCGAAAATGCCTTGTTGATGCTAGAGGTCAGAGGAGAATGGGGCGACTGATTCAAGCTGATAGAAGAGCAACTTTGACTGAAATAACCACTCGTTACAACCGAGGTATGCAGCAAAGCATTTGTGAAGCCACAACACACACAACCTTGAGGCGGATGGGCAACAACAGCAGAAGACCCCACCGGGTACCACTCATCTCCACTACAAATAGGAAAAAGAGGCTACAATTTGCAAGAGCTCACCAAAATTGGACAGTTGAAGACTGGAAAAATGTTGCCTGGTCTGATGAGTCTCGATTTCTGTTGAGACATTCAGATGGTAGAGTCAGAATTTGGCGTAAACAGAATGAGAACATGGATCCATCATGCCTTGTTACCACTGTGCAGGCTGTTGGTGGTGGTGTAATGGTGTGGGGGATGTTTTCTTGGCACACTTTAGGCCCCTTAGTGCCAATTGGGCATCGTTTATATGCCATGGCCTACCTGAGCATTGTTTCTGACCATGTCCATCCCTTTATGGCCACCATGTACCCATCCTCTGATGGCTACTTCCAGCAGGATAATGCACCATGTCACAAAGCTCGAATCATTTCAAATTGGTTTCTTGAACATGACAATGAGTTCACTGTACTAAAATGGCCCCCAAAGTCACCAGATCTCAACCCAATAGAGCATCTATGGGATGTGGTGGAACGGGAGCTTCGTGCCCTGGATGTCCATCCCACAAATCTCCATCAACTGCAAGATGCTATCCTATCAATATGGGCCAACATTTCTAAAGAATGCTTTCAGCACCTTCAATGCCATGAATCAATGCCATGTAGAATTAAGGCAGTTCTGAAGGCGAAAGGGGGTCAAACACAGTATTAGTATGGTGTTCCTAATAATCCTTTAGGTGAGTGTATATGAATGTGCATATATGCAAGGGTGATGAATCATTGTATTGCTTTCGAACCAGAAGGAACTTATTTGCTGAAAATGAATCTTACTGGGGTGTGAATTGTACTACTAATATATAAAATAGTAACTCACAGGTCTTTCATTCTCTGGTTTTAGAGTCCGTCTACGTTGACGTCCCAGTGCCACGGAGCTACAGAAGGAAGCGCAGGCATCACAGGCACACGTCACGGCATTCCCACGAGCGTGACGGCAGGGAGAAACACCACAGCAATCACGAACACCAGGATCGAGAGGAACCATGTGATGCAAATGAAGGGGAGCAGGATTCAAACGAGCTCTCTGACATCAACTTCACCAGTGAGCTTCTCTTAACATTATTCTTCACATATCACAAAAGGTCTATAGTTTCTATCAAAATACAATTAAATACAGTTCAATGTTATTTTAGCATCTGTGAGATACTATTATAGTTTTTGGTTATTTCTATAGTCCACTTTAGACATTCTACTTCTAACTATAAGTAACTTTGCAACTACATGTCAACTAACTATCATTAGAGTATTAGTAGACTGTTAGGTTAGGGTTAGTAGAATAAGTTGACATGTACTTGTACATGTTGGGGAATCATCTCAATAAAGTGTTAGCAGATATTAAGCAGACAGTCTACTAATACTGTAATGGTAGTTGACATGTAGTTGCAAAGTTACTTAGTAGAATGTCTGAAGTGGTCCATCGACATGTTACATATTTTCTTTTTTATGTTAAATTTAGTTAAAGTTTTACCAATTTTGTTGTGTTTTTGGCATTATTTATTGTTTTTTTAAATATGCTTTCTTTCATTTTTATTATTGTGTAATTATTTGTAGTTATTGTACATCAAGTTAAACTAACTTAAAATGAACAATGTTGCTTTGGCAACTAGCTGAAATAAATAGATAAATAAATAAATAAATATTTTATCTCAAGTAACTTTTTTTATAGTTTTATTTTTAGTTAACTATATGGTAACTTTATTTTAAGGTGACGTAGTTAGACGTAACTGCATGTACTAACTACAGTAATAACTGTAAATTATGCACAATTACAAGGAACTAATCCTAAAAACCAAACCCTAAGACTAAACATAACTCTATAGTAAGTACATGTAGTAAATAAATATTACTCAGTACTCATTTGAGTAAGTGCAATGTAACTACGTCACCTTAAAATAAAGTGTAACCAACTGTAATAATACAGTTACTGCATTAAAATAACATGCATCATTGAGGATTATTGATAGAAACATGTCTGAGAGTTGTTTAAGGATTTAGAATTAAATTTTGAAGTGAGAGAGAGAGAGGGAGAGAGAGAGAGAGAGAAAGGGAGGGATCAGCAAAGCTGGAGGAGGAGAAAAACACTTGTTGGGCCTTTCATGCGTGTGGCACTTTGCCCTGCTTTAGTTTTCAGGAAAGAGCAACATTGCTGAAGAGAAAAGTTCAAGAACAAGAGCACTTGCTCACAGGGAAGGTGCATATAAAATGAGGGAAAAGGCCTAACGGATTCATCAAAAAGAGGCTGAAGTCAACAGGTGGACATTTCAGAATAGTTATTGTGGATCTTTTTTCTTTCAATGAAACAATAAACGTGGGATTTACTGAAGGATGGAGCAGGAACAGCGTAGGTTGACGGGCTCGTTCAGTATTCAGGACTCTATACAGTCACTGACGTCCAGTCTGGGCTCTCAGGACACTCTTCTGAGCAGCTGCACAGGTACAGGTGCTCTTCATCTCTTTTCCTTACTATTGCTGACATTTATTCTCCCAGAGAGTTTCTTTCTGTAACTGTGGTCAGAGCACATTTGGTTTGGAGTTTGATACTGGTAACTGGACCTTGTTGAGTCTTAGTTAGTCTATTAGCAAGTTTTTTGCTGATACAGTAATAACAGTACTGAAGTCACAAGGTTGGTTGATGATTGTAGTAGGGTTTTTTTTTAAATCCTTGTGAAGCCTAGGACAATATTTTTCTTTTCTTTTCTCTTTTTTTTTTTTTGCTGCAGTGTGACATTTTCATGACATTTAAGGACATTTACTCCCAAAATAACTTTTCTGTAATGCAATATATGATAAACTATTTAAATTGAAAAGTACATCAGGATAGCACTTAATGCACTTCCTTTTTGTGCAATATTTTAATATATATTTTTTAAAAATGGTCATTTGTATATTACTGTTTTTCATTTCATGTGAAATAATAATTAACTACATGTACTTACTATAGGGTTAGGCTTAGGATTGGGGTTTAGTTTAGGGATAGTTGCATGTAATTATGCATAATTTATAGTTATTACTACAGTAACTACATGTAATGTGTAACAAGGACACTGTAAAATAAAGTGTTACCATTTATTCTTATTATTATTTACTTTTTTCTTTTAATTTGGATATGCAAAATGAGCCACACATCAGGTTTAATGAGATTCGCTCATTGCCGCTGGATGTAAAGACACATTTCTGAGATCAATCTACAACCTTCAATAATAATTTGCGTCAAACTTTGTTTAAATGTTCGGTAGTGTCCATATTTGCATGATTTTGCATTACATCCATCTATTTAAATTGTGAAACACATTAAAATTTTATCTTTTGGGAATGCATGTTTCTGTAAGGTTCTTCACAAGAAGAAATCTCAGGATTTAACATCTGCTCTTATTGGAGTCAAAATGCTTTAAGGTCAGTAAGTAAAGACTGACCTAAAGAAATTAATTGTCGATGAATTCTACGGCATCATGTACAGTATATCAACAGCTAACCTCTGATATATATGACTCTATCAAAGTTTGATTGAAGTGTATGAGGTATAAATAAGCTGGTGCGTTGTACTCTACTCTGCATTGGCATTCTACAACCACACGTATTTGTGATTTTTACTTTAGGATTAGAAGGATTACATGGAGAAAAACACCCACGTGCTAATAATCCTGAGGAAAAGCCAGAGATTGAGAGGAAGGTCACAAAAAGATTGTCATGCTTGAGCTCACAGGCACCGACTTGCACCTTGAGTTTTCAATAGATTGCTCTAAACTTCAGATTTAATACACATAACATTCGATTTTAGTAACCTCCACTGGAACTTATGTAAGCTGACTTTACCTAAAATATAAAGTCGATCATTTTGATTAAATCAGTACAGGTCTATTGACATTAGAAATTGATTCTGGCATTGTACATCAGATTAGATTAAGCACTGTCATGTGGTTATTTAAGATAATCCACTGAACAAATTCTTTTGAGATGCTTTCAGATATCGGCCTCCTTTATGCAGATTTATGCACATTTTAGAAGATATTTATCTTCAAAGGAGGATTATTAAGATACTTATCTTTAAACAATCCTGTTGATTTGATTCTGACTTTATCGGCTGATGCATGACTCGAGTGAAGAGTTGAGCTGGATTCAGTGCGTTCTCAGATCTGAAAGCTCAGTGAATTCTCGTTCTGATTAGATACATGAATTATGATGGAATCGTTGATGGCCTTAGGGAGTCGTGCATCGTAATGTTCCTGCTCTGTTATATTCAGATTTCATTTCAAGCAGGGTCATTTCAGATTGAGCTGAAGGCAAAACAACAGCCAGACTTATTCGACATACAGTCCAGTAGGCTTCTGTGTAATGCAAAGAATCAAACTCTGTTGTACTAGTAGGGTGTGTTGAGCTACAGGCCATTATTGACACATTTCCATGGACATTTTTTATTTGCTTGTTTTTTCTTTATTGCTATCAATTTCTAAGTTGATTTGGATATAAGCATCTGCAGTTTCTTTTGAAAGTTACATGATTTTCACATGGCTGTTTCTACAACAGGCGAAAAAATACAATATCTTTAGATTGAAAGAAGGACCCGAGCCATACATAACCACCCACAACACCTTAGCAACACCCTGGCAACCACTCTCAACAAACTCGCATCATGCAAACAACACTGCTGTTCAAAACTTTTGTTTGTTTTTCAGCAAGGATTCATTAAATTGATCTAAAGGGACAGTAAAAGCTTTTAACAGTAAAGACATTTATGATTTTACAAAATAATTCTATTTCAAACAATAGTTGTTCTTTAGAACTTTCTGTTAGTCAAACAATCCTAAAAAAGAAAATGTATCACTGTTTCCACCAATATCTGAAGCAGCACAACTGTTTTCAACATTGATAATAATCAGAAATGTTTCTTTAGCAGCAAATTATCATATTAGACTGATTTCTGAAGAATCATATGACACTGAAGACTGGAGTAAAGATGCTGAAAATTCAGCTTTGATCACAGGAGTACATTACATTTTATCATTTATTAGAATAGAAAATGGTTACTTTTTTTAAAATGTTTTTTTTTAAATCACAATATTACTGTTTTACTGTATTTTTGATCAAATAAATGCAGCCTTTGTGAGCATAAGCCATTAAAATCAAAACCATTAAAATCGTACAGACCCCACAGTTTTGAATGATACTATATATATATATATATATATATATATATCAGATTATAGCATAGTAGAGAGAATACAGGAAGTGATGGGGAAAATGAGAGGTCGAATCAGAGATGGTTGCAAGCCAGATTCAAACTGACCTCACCCACAAGTTTCAATGTATTGGAGCATGTAAAGTTCCGACTCTTGTTTGGCTTACCGGTACTTGCATTGCTCAAATATTACTTATACTACAAACGTCAAACTATCTTATGCTCTGTGTGTGTGTGTGTGTGTGACAGTGTCCCCTGCTGCTGAGAGACTACGCCACATCCTCAGGGATGAAGATGAGCCCACACCCACCCTCTTCACTGAGATGGACACACTGCAGCATGAAGGCGGAGAGATGGAGTGGAAAGAGTCGGCCAGGTGACACAAACAAGATCACATAACACAAAGGGCGCTTCTCATTCTTCACTTCCTTTCAGGGGTGTTAGCCTGTGTATCCTCGCTCATGCCTCCTCAGAAAGCTTCCTCACTCCTCCTCGTTCCTCGCCTCCTCACGGTGCAATTAGAGAATTGAGATGTCCTCCAAGATGGCTGAGTACGATCGGTTTTCGGGTCACAGGCTGGAAAGGAGCGAGGAAACGAGGAGAGGAGCGAGGAAATGAGGAAGCATCAATTTGAGTATTGAGAAGCACCTGTACACTTCTCAAGCCTTTTGTGACATTATGTAAATCAGGGGTTTTCAATCTTTTAGATGTCATTGACCCCCAAATATGATCATCCTTGTTATGAGGGACCCCCATCCTAAAATTTAAATAATTTATACTCTAAAAAATGCATATTATAAATCTAAAATTAGTTTCTGTTAAGTTACATTATTATATATTTTCAACCCACTATAGTAATGTATAGTTAAATGTTAGTTGAAAAAATTGAACAAACAATACAATGACTAACTGGTTACACTTTACAATAAGGTCCCATTAGTTCCCTTTCGTAGTCACTCCGAGTTACGTCGGATGACGGAGAATGGGGGTTTCGCCAGAAAGACTATCATCTTCGAGTATTAAAAAACGAGCCTATGGCAATGAAATGCCATGGGTCTGCGGAATTTGCATAATGTATCTCCGCCCCACCGCGTGGGTATTTAAGGAGAGACACCTGCAACAGCAGATCATGTTTTCGCTTCGGAGCCAAGAGCATCTCTTCACTCCACAAGCCAAATCCTGAGTTTTCTCAGTGACTACATCTCTTCGAGACGAGCCAACTCTCCGGTGTTGGTGTGACGGCGGTATCCAGCGAGTTTCACATTGCCTGCGAGCTGAGCAGTGGTCTGCCAGTCTGTGTGTTCTCCCTGGTCGCTTCAACATCCGCGGAGTTTTTTCTCTCACTAAAGAGCTGCACGCGGCACGTCTTTTTAAAGACGCGTCTTTCTAAAGACGATCTGCCCGTGTTTTTCTGAGTGTGGTATTCTGATAGATTCAGCTGATGGGCGCGAGCGCTGTTTTGAGTGTTTGGGCTTTGATCGCGCTCAGACAGGTGTGTCACGTGGGTGTGTCACGTTCTCTCACTGGGAACGTGACCATCGCAATGTAACGGTCGAGACTCGATGAGCTCAATGAGTGAGAGTCCCCTCATCCACACCCCGATCTATTTTTCTCCACGTGAGATAATACTTCGGCTGGTGGCCAGGGTGACCTAAGACGGCAGGTTTGGAACTAAACCGACGAAAAATTCCTCGGTCCACACCCCGTCTTTCACATTGCAACCTGCGTGGTCCCAGGTGAGTTCGCCGGCCCGCCCGCGGGCCCACGGTCTCATTCGGTCCCCCGGCTGGTGAAATCATGTATCACCGCATCACAAGGTGAGCTGGAGTCCTCTAGAGATGATGGCTCGTCTGTGCTGCCGTCCTCGGATGTGCTAGCATAACGAGTTTGATCCAGAGTGCACAGCTATGCTTCCCGGGCTGCCGCGAGTATCGGGCTGGTGTGGAACCTTCTGCCATGTCCCGAGCACTTAAGGCTGTTGATGGGTTTTGGGGGTGGCGAACCCAAATCCATTCTACCCGGACGTGCATGAAGAGATCATGAGATCGTGGAAGTCTCCTTGACTCTTGCGACTGCTCAGTGGCCACTTCCGCCTTCTCTGCCCTTGTAGAGGCCGCGGCCTAGGGTGCACTGGGGTTCCCCCTGTGGAGTGTTCTGTGGCAACACTTATGTGTCCCCACAGCGCCTCCACCTGGCGTGGCGACTCTTAAGCACCCCTCCAATCCTGTAGGTTCTTGTCTACTCCGGTGGCGGGGACCTATAGAGCTGCGGGGCAGGCTGCCACCTCACTGCGTGTTATTGCCATCCTCCTGGGTGTTCAATGACATGCACGAGGGTAGGGCTGATTCAGGGCTCATCCTTGAGCTGCCTGCCGTCACCGACCTTGCTCTCCGAGCGAACGTAGGTGACCGCACGCTCCCTGAGTCAGGTGATGTCCACATAGGTGGTCAGACACCTCTGGCTAACCTGGTTGATGTGCGCGAGGCTGAGTGATTTCGTTTCCTCAACTCCCCCATATCCCAGGCTGGCCTCTTCGGCGGCGCGGTCGAGGACTCTGCCCAACAGTTCTCGGCCGCCCAGAAGTGGACTGTGGCTATTTTGTCTGACCTCGCGGCTTTGCTGCCTCCAGCTGCCGGCTCAGACGCCTCAGTCCGCTTGCTGCCGAATGCGCCCTCCTGCGACTTCCGCCCCCTCCCGCCCGGCCCCCAGCAGCACCGGGCCGCGCCGTGGAGGTGGTCGCAGGAAGGCGCCCCTGCCCGTACCGGTCCCGCAGCCCCGCCAAGGCCAGGCTTGCGGCGCTCCCGTTACGGGCAGCTCAGATGTGGGTTGCAGTTCTTCAGGGAGTGGTTGCAGGGGCCACTCCTTCCCCCGGTGGAGGGCTGGGGGAGAATCTTTTCTAAACCAAAGAGCTGCATCCCATCTCTGAGCCCTCAGAGGGCCGGACGACAGTGCGCGACGCTCCCGGGCCTTGTCGCTCTCGTCCCCCTCTGTCTCTGAGGGCGCGGATGACAGTGTGTGCCGTCTCCGGACCACACCACTCTCGTCCCCCTCTGTCGCCAGACCCCTGGCAGAGCAGACCCCCGTGGAACGCTGGTCCTTCCCTGGTCTCCTCTGTCAGGACGCGGAGCATGACCGTGCCCCCGCACCGGGCCGCTATGCCACCCACGCCTGGGCCGGTCACTCCGCTTCGCTGCCCCTCCGGGGGGGACGTCTGTCGTTCGGATGTTTCCGCTGGTTCCGTTCTTGGGAGCTTGGTTAGAGCTTCCCTACCTGTCCCGCTGGGTCGCCCGAACTATCAGGCTCGGCTATGCGATCCAATTCGCACGGTCTCCTCCCCGCTTCAGGGGAGTCCGTTTACTTTGGTCGGTGGCAATGCCCCGATCATGAGAGCGGAGGTTGCCACCCTGCTGGCGAAGGGTGCAATCGAGACTGTCCCTCCAGCCGAAATGAGGTCAGGGTTTTACAGCCCGTACTTCATTGTCCCCAAGAAGACCGGTGGGTTACGGCCAATCCTGGATCTGCGCGTCTTGAGTCGCTCCCTTCACAGGCTGCCGTTCAGGATGCTCACGACCAAACGCATTTTCGAATGCGTGCGGCCACAGGATTGGTTTGCAGCGATAGACCTGAAGGACGCCTACTTTCATGTCTCCATTTTACCTCGACACAGACCGTTTCTTCGGTTTGCTTTCGAGGGGCAGGCATACCAGTACGCAGTTCTCCCATTCGGGTTGGCTCTGTCTCCTCGCGTCTTTACGAAGGTCGTCGAGGAAGCCCTTGTTCCCCTGCGCGAACACGGGGTTCGCATCCTGAATTACCTCGACGACTGGCTAATATTAGCTCACTCTCGAGTCCAGGTTGTGAACACAGAGACCTAGTGCTCCGGCACCTAGCCCGTCTGGGCCTTCGGGTCAACTGGGAGAAGAGCAAACTTTGCCCCGTGCAGAGGATCTCTTTTCTCGGTATGGAGATAGACTCGGTCGCCATGTCCGCGCAGCTTACGAGCGAGCGCGCACACTCACTGCTGACTTGTCTTCGACAGTTCGAGGGCAAGAGTGCGGTCCCACTGAAACTTTTTCAGAGGCTCCTGGGGCATATGGCATCCGCAGCCACGGCAACGCCACTCGGATTGCTTCATATGAGACCGCTTCAGCTGTGGCTTCGCGATCGGGTCCCGAGGTGGGCATGGCATCGCGGTACGCTCAGAGTTCCAATAACTCCGACCTGCCGTCAGTCCTTCACCCCGTGGCGGAACCTCAGCTTTCTACGGGCTGGAGTTCCCCTAGAACGAGTTTCCAGGCATGTTGTTGTCTCCACAGATGCCTCTGCCACGGGCTGGGGCGCCATGTGCAATGGACATGCAGCCGCGGGCTCCTGGACAGGACCCCAGCGCCTCATGCATGTCAATTGCCTTGAGTTGCTGGCAGTACGCCTTGCCCTGCACCGCTTCCACGCGCTGCTCCAGGGTCAACACGTACTTGTCCGTCCGGACAATACCACGACAGTAGCGTACATCAACCATCAGGGTGGTCTACGCTCTCGCCGTATGTCGCAACTCGCACGACACCTGACTCCTCTTATGGAGTCAGAAGCACCTGAGGTCCTTTCGTGCTATTTACATTCCAGGAGAGCGGAACCTTGCAGCCGACGAGCTGTCACGGCTCCGGCCAACCTCTGGCGAATGGCGACTCCATCCCCAGTCGGTCCAGCTGATATGGGACCAGTTCGGGGACGCACAGATATATCTGTTTGCCTCCCACGACTCATCCCATTGCGCCCTGTATTACTCCCTGACCGAGGGCACGCTCGGCACGGATGCACTGGCGCACAGCTGGCCGCAGGGCCTACGCAAATATGCGTTTCCCCCAGTGAGCCTTCTCGCACGGACTCTGTGCAAGATCAAGGAGGACGAGGAGCAGGTCATATTGGTCGCCCCATACTGGCCCACCAAGACCTGGTTCTCCGAACTGATACTCCTCGCGACAGCACCTCCTTGGCCAATTCCTCTGAGGAAGGACCTCCTTTCTCAGAGACGGGGCACCCTATGGCACCCTCGTCCCGATCTTTGGAGACTCCACGTGTGGCTCCTGGACGGGACGAGGCAGGTTGAGTACCCTGCCACCTGCGGTGGCGGCTACCATCACTTCCGCTAGAGCGTTGTCCACGAGACACGTCTACGCGTTGAAGTGGAACCTCTTCGTCAACTGGTGCTCTTCTCGGCGAGAAGACCCCAGGAGATGCTCGATTGGTGTCGTGCTTTCCTTTCTGCAAGACGGCCTGGAGTGAAGGCTGTCTCCCTCCACCCTGGAGGTGTATGTGGCCGCTATCGCCGCTTATCACGATGCAGTTGAAGGTAAGTCTCTGGGAAAGCACGACCTG